AAGGGCCAAATCTCTCACCAAATCATTAAGTTTACCTTGTGTGAAAAGTTGTGGTTCGCCAGACGTTTAAGGTTTAAAACAATCCCTATCATCATTTCTGTTGACATCATATTCAGAATGAGATCAATCTGGTTCAAAAGGCTCTGGGGGAGTAGGTACAGTTACATCACGTCCATGAGCAACAGGTCCTATAGCAGATTGAAGGTTCAGATAAGAAAATTCCTTTATATTTCGAGTGTTGTAGCCTTGCACGTTACATGGGCAAAAATAGCAGTCATCTCAATGGTTTCTAGGCTCACGCCAGACCACTGGAATTCCAAAACACAAAGACTTTTTCTTACCTATAATTCATTGTTCCAACTCTTCAACATAAATGGTGCAAACTTTGTGCCGAGTCCATGATTTGTCTTGGTCCCCAAGTTTTATTCCAAAATACGCGTAAAACGGTTTTTTTTTTTTATGAATTCTGTGATTTTTTGCTTTTGTTTCGTTACAACAAATTTTATCGATTTCAAGTTTGTAATCTGCGGAGTTATTTCATAACGACGTAATTAACAGATATCCAAATAACCTTTCAAAATAAACTCTTTAAACAAAGCTCAACATATGATATCTTATTATAATGGAGCTTGCGATGTATACATTCAAGGCCCGGCATGGCCAGTTGGTTAGGGCGCTCGACTCACAATCTGAGGATTCGAATACTCGTCTTACCAAATATGCTCGCCCTTTCAGCCGTGGGGGCGTTATAATGTGACGTCCAATCCCACTAATTGTTGGTAAAAGAGTAGCCCAAGAGTTGGCGGTGGGTGGTGATGGCTAGTTGTCTTCCCTCTAGTTTTACACTGCTAAATTAGGGACGGCTAGCGCAGATAGCCCTTGTGTAGTTTTGCGCGAAATTCAAAACAAACAAACAAGTACACGTTCAAAACTCGGATCTCGGAAATTACCGCACCGATCATCACCAATCCTAACTGGGTAATATTTCTATAACTACGCAGTATTTTTATAGCTGAGCAATAAATAAAACAATTGAAATTACTACAACAATGATATGTTTCATATTTAACCATTAACAATTACAAAAAAGGAGTTTGTTTCAAATATAAGATAATAAAAAACAAACTTAAAAAATATTTGTTTTTCTTTAGTGAACATCTCATGAGTTTTGCAATAGAAAAGCAAGACACTTTCATTGATAAATAACTACATCTACAAAGAAATACTTCAATAAAATCTGTGATGTAATGCTGTGATGATAGCTCATTTTTAAACTAAAGTTTCAATAAAATCCTTTTTCTCATAGATCGAGAACATTATTGAATGTCAAGTATGAGTACATTGTTGTAAAACTGTCAGACAATTCCAGAAAAGACCGCAGGCCCAATAGTCTTTCGTAGGATCTAACAGTTATACTTGTCCGGAAGACGGCTATTTCTGCTAGTATAATTAACTTCTTTCAAGAATATGTTTAAATAATATCTACAACACTTTGCAATTTCTTTGCTTTGTATAACAAATATGGAGACTGAAAATCGTTGAAACGCTCTTATTTTTACCTAACACGTCTTATTAACTGTCCAATAAACCTTCCGAAAGTACCAAGCACGAGCCACCTTTGAATAATATTTACCAAAAGTTTACCAACTGGATGTAGATTCCAATAAAACTTATCAATGGCTTTCCTAACAGTTGATATTTCCAGGAAAAATGTATTGCTCTTGTATTTACCTTTTTTTGTCATACTAGTTTTCCAATAAAGCTTGCCACCGTATGTATACCAGCAAAACGAACTTTCCTCATACAAATTACTAAAATTAAGCCAACCAAATGGATATTCCAATATAATATACTAAAAATATACCAGTCAAATAAACTTTCCAACAAAACTTACCAGAGTGTATGACAGACAAGTGAAGTTTTCAATAAAACTTACCAAATTTTATACCATTTACCAGACAGATTGACTTTCTATTAACACTTACCAAAGGTATACCAGCCAGATGGACAGTTTCCAGGAAGGGGCGTAGGTTCTGTTGTTGGAGCTGGAGTGACGATTTTAATATTTGGTACCTTACAAACTAAATTACTTTCTTTCAAGTCACAATGGTGATCCTTCCAAGTCCCTAAGACAGAAGAAAACTTTTAACACAGATTTGTATTGTTTAAGTGTTAAACGAAAAAATACCAAAGAATCGCAGCTTTAAATGGAAAAGCATATTGTTAGCGCTCGCGGTGTTTATTGTAAGGAACTCGTATCATTTGTGAAGTGTGAAGTAGGAAAACTTAATGAGGAGAAGAAATATTGAATCGTGATTTCAAAACCGGTTAAAGAGTTGCAAGCTTACAGGAATTATCAATTGTTGACTGCTTCAGCTCCTCTAACAATATTGAAATTTACACGAATTATCAATTGTTGATTACTTCAGCTTCACTAACAATATTGAAATTGACACGAATTATCAATTATTGATTACTTCAGCTTCACTAACAATATTGAAATTGACACGAATTATCAATTGTTGATTACTTCAGCTTCACTAACAATATTTGAAATTGACACGAATTATCAATTGTTGATTGCTTCAGCTTCACTAACAATATTTGAAATTGACACGAATTATCAATTATTGATTGCTTCAGCTCCTCTAACAATGTTGAAATTGACACGAATTATCAATTATTGATTGCTTCAGCTCCTCTAACAATATTGAAATTGACACGAATTATCAATTATTGATTGCTTCAGCTCCACTAATAATTTTGAAATTGACACGAATTATCAATTATTGATTGTTTCAGCTCCACTAACAATATTTGAAATTGACACGAATTATCAATTATTGATTGCTTCAGCTCCACTAACAATGTTGAAATTGACACGAATTATCAATTATTGGTTGCTTCAGCTTCACTAACAATATTGAAATTGACACGAATTATCAATTGTTGATTGCTCCAGCTCCACAACCAATGTTCAAATTGACACGAATTATCAATTGTTGATTGCTTCAGCTCCACTAACAATGTTGAAATTGACACGAAGTATCAATTGTTGATTGCTCCAGCTCCACTACCAATGTTGAAATTGACACGAATTATCAATTGTTGATTGCTTCAGCTCCACTAACAATATTTGAAATTGATAGCCTTACTAGTTACTTAAGTTTTGTTTTGCATGGTTGGGCTATAGATGAAAAGACAGCCATCTGGTGGTGGATCTCAGAGTCCTCTTCGTGCAGGAAGAATATAGAAAACTTGTAAACTACAAAGATTACATTTTTCAGCTACATATTTAAAACCCTTGTAATCTGAGTGTTTACCTTGTATTAAGTTATACTGGAGTGTTCTTACTAAGCAGGGAACTTTATACTTATGATAATTGTTGTTCATGTTCAAGTCCATAAAAAAGGCTCCCCGGTGACTTAGTGGTACGTTTGGAGGCTTATAACACTAGAATTCTGGGTTTAGTTTCTACGATGGGAACAGTGCAGATAGCCCATTGTAAAGCTATGCGCTTAACAACAAACAAGCTGTAACAAAGTGAGACAAATCACCAGAACATTTTAAACCATTGTTTCTAAAAAATAATAGCAAAATGAATCCCAAGATGAGACACTAGTAAATTTACGGACTTACAAGTCCGGGTTTCGATTCCCTGCGGTGCACAAAGCACATAGCTCAATGTGGCTTTGCTCAAGGCCAAAAGATGCGGAACTCGTTTTTGCGGCAACATGACGCAAGCCATGAACGCTACGATTCACAAGTTCAGGCCTCAGTTCACTTGTATAG